CGAGGAGACCGATGAACAAGTCACACACAACGCAACCCTTCCTCCCTGTTCTCAACGTCCTGGCAAGGACCCAGAGCCCCACTTAGTGGAGTCGTCCCAATGGGACAGTGCCTCTGACAGGGACCAAAGCGAGGAACCGGTTCTGCCTGCAGTTGCGTCTTAATCACCGTGGACCCCTCACTTGCAGACTCTGAGCTGCCAGCCTGCATGGCTCACACCTGAAGCATGCCCTGATGCTTCTCCTCCCAATCTTTGCTCTCTAAGACGAGAACAAAGTCTCTTCACCCAGGATCTGGGCTTCCATCTTGGCCTATCAACAGGTTTCCCCGACTGTGTCTTCCTCCTCCAATCCAAACTCAGGAATGCCCTACTAGTCATATTACTTTTTTGTTGTTGTTATTCCAAGATCCTTACTGAGTTCCTGCTAATAAAACCCTCAACTCAGCCAGACATGGTGGCACCCTATAATCCTTGCAGGCTGGAGAATCAGGAGTTCAAAGTTACCCTCCACTACAACACCAAGTTTGAGACTAGCCTGGGCTATAAGAGTCTCAAAAAAAAAAAAAAAAAAAAAAAAAAAACCACCTTGTGACTATGGGAGTCAAGGTTACAAACAGGAATAAATGACTGACAGGTGGCCCTGACCTGACTGTGCCTACAGTGTGTTTTTCATGGATGTCTGTCTGTCCGTCTGTCTCACCCTCTCTCTCTCTCCCTCTCTACCTCTCTCCTCGAACCAAATTCTAACTGCCCACAACCCAATTAAATGTACTTCATCAAGGAAGACTTCCTTAATCCTACTGTCTTAAAGATCTCTCACCTAGGAATGCAACCCATACTAACACCAGCTGATGCTGAATGACAGCAGCTTCTGGACACATGGGGCTACTAAACAGTTAAAAAAAAAAAAAGTAGACTGAAAATGTTCACTATTTAATTCTATCTCACTTTAATCAATTGCAATGTAATTTTTTTTTTTCACAAGACAGGTCCTGGCTGTCCTGAAACTCACTCTGTAGACCAGGATGGCCTTAAACTCACAGGGATCCAACTGCCGAGCACTGGAATTAAAGGCCCCACTACCCAGCAAACTGTAATGTAATTTTAAAGCAGATATTCAAGATTCGATTTTTAGAAAGCCTCTAGGTATGCTTAGAACAACTTGGGTATGAGAGTCTACTTTGTCAACTACAAATTTAATGAAAGGTAAGTGCAGACCAAATACTCAAAACCATAAATTCAAACTGAGGTGTTTCATAAATATAAACTGCCATGTTTGAATAGTTCCTATAAAAAGTAATCTATACTCCTTATACTGATATATTAAAATAAATTTTTCTGCTACACTGGAGTAAATAAGTTATTAATATTTTGCTACCTTATAGTATGGCTAAATTTTTAAAATTATACATGCCTCAAAAGATTCTCCTGGACAGTGCTGGCTAAACCCTTCCCTATGACGTGGGATTTTATATTTGTGTTCACATCTATAACCGTGGCTTGTCTATTTTTTTTTTTACTCTTATTGGCATCTACAATGGTGATAACAGAAGCAGCTCACACAGTGAAATCTAAGGGGCAGGCCTGCTTTAAGCTGACAGCAGTCCTGTGACTCACGTCACTGCCCCCTTTCTGCAAGCAAGCTGAGACTGAACTCTAACAACTAAGTGATTGGTTAAGTGGCAAACGGGACATCCAAGCCTTGAACAGATAGTCCCTCGGGCCCACCTGGGAGCCACCTGCATCTGCATTAGTCCAGTGTCAGCCCCTGAGCAGGCAGGCAGAAATGGCAAACAAAGCTCAGCCTCCTCTTCTACAAATTCACGACAGGCAGCTGAGCTACAACAACAACAAAAAAAAAAAGATGAAAAAACAATGGTGGGTGGGGGGTTGGAAGGTCAACAGGAGTCAGGAATACAGCTGGGTGTGGTCTGCACCTGCCACCCAGCAGTCCAGAGGCTAAGCAGTGCAAGAGGACTGAAAATCAAGGGTTCAAGCCAGGGACTAGACAGACAGCTCAGCAGCTAAAAACGATTGCTGCTCCTTGCAAAAGAGAGTTCAATTCCCAGCATCCACATTGGGCAGCTCACAACCACAACCACTTGATCTCAATTTAAAAAAAGGAATATAAGTATATAAGTTTATGAACTCTAGACAACAACTTCCTCAATTAGTGACTAGCGCGGTGAAAGCCTGATTTATTATTTTCAGGATGTCACTAAATGACGCATTTTCCTGGGGTTTGCGCCTCAGCCTCCTTCCTGAAGGAAAGCCTTCAACAATAATATTCCAGTAAAAGCTGAAGGGCAGAGAAACCAGCACCAGCCTGTCCTTGGCCAGCCTTTACCATCACTCCCAAAGGGCATGTTAGGCCACATCTAATATCAGAGGCAGAAGCATCTAGGATTCAATGGCTGGCAGGAAAACCAGCTTTGTCATAAAGGGAAAAGGCTCATGGCCAGCACCAAGGGCTGAGGACAGCAAGGGAAACTTGGGCTGGCTTAGCTTCAAGAGTGCTCTCGAAGAAACAAACCCAGACAGACAGACAGACAGACAGCTGCACACATAGCCTGAGCCAGGCCTTTCACTTTTATAACTGGAGGTGCCCTGAGGCTCAGTTCGTTCCTCACTGGGCCACTCTTGGAGGTTAAGGGTCACAAATAAAGTAGACATGTCAGGAAGAGATGAGGGAGGGGGAGCAAACGGAACAGGGAACGAGAGGGGTGAGCAAGAGGGAGAGGGGAAGCCCTCATCACCCGCCAGCTCCTGTCACATGCCGTGGAGCCTGAGGACACTTAGGTCTGCAATCTGGTCACAAATGGCACACACGTGACTCTGGTCACATGAGCACCTGAAGCAGTCAGACTCCTAGAACCCAAAGTACAAGGGTGGGTTACAGGAGCAGAGAGAGCGGAGGGAAACAGAGGAGGGGCCCTTCCGCAGGCAGAGCTTTCATCCGCTTTGCAAGGGGAAAATTCTAGAAATCTGCTGTGCACCTATGTGTGCATGTTGCTAACATTACAGTACTGCACATTCTAAGCGATTATGCTGGGAGGGTCTGTGTGATGTTTTCACCACAGCTCACTTCACTGTTTACTTAGATCACAAAAAATGATTTGTGGGACATCTGACAAGACACAAACAGCTCAGAACACGCGCAGAGAGCTCCTCTATACACCACACACAGAGGATGGATCTGAGCTTGCAGCCACACCTTCACTGGAGCTCCCGAGTGGTAGACCCTAATCACTTATTTGTTCCACGTGATGTTGGGGGAGGGGCACAAGAGCCGGAGGAAGGGTTTCCCGCAATCGCATTCTCTCTTGGGACTCTGGACCTGGAATGAAGGTTGTAGCAAAGGCTAGTATCTTGAAAGTGAGAGATAAGGAAATGAAAGCCTGGCAGTTTATACTCCCTGCTCTGTAACCCGCCTGTTAGCCCAGGGAAAAAAAAAAAGGATGCAGAGCCAAGGGTGGCAACTCCCGGGTTAAGAACCACTGCTCTAACTCTCACATGGCATCCTTATCACCCACGGTGTCTCCAAGCAGGTTCTGCTACTTGCGATGGAGGAAGCCTCCACCCTGCCTTTACACACCGATGCTTTTGGGACTTCGGCAGGGAAACTGCCACACTATCTAAGAAGCTGTCCGCCTCCCTGGTTTCGTTCCTCTTAACCCTCCTACCTGGAACCCCTTGCCTTCTCCTCCCCCATTCCACAGCCCACACTGTATCTACCTTTCCACCTGTAGTTCGACTGCTGAGTTCTCTCCCTCTCTCTCTCTCTCTCTCTCTCACACACACACACACACACACACACACACGTGACCATCCTCTCCCGCCCCCCCCCCCTTCCACAGCCTGGTCAAGCTTTCTTCACAGTAGTTACCACACTCTGCCTTACAAGAGACACACGTGTACATCTGTCTTAGTGTGTGTATGTATGCCTGTGGGTGATCACACATACATACATGAAGGTGCCTGCAGAGGCGAGTGCAGGTATCAAATAACCTAGAGCTGGAGTCAAAGGCACTGATGAGCCACCTGGCACGGATGCTAAGCCTCAAACTTAGTGTGCTGGGAGAGCAGCTACTGTTCTTAACTGCTGAGCCGTAACCGCCGAGCCGTACCTCCTGCCCATACACAGACATCTTAACCCCGCTACTAAACCGAATCTTTTTCTTTTTGGTTTTTCAAAGACAGGGTTTCTCTGAGTAGCCCTGGCTGTCCTGGACTCACTCTATAGGCCAGGCTGACCTTGAACTTAGAGATCCACCTGCCTCTGCCTCGAGTGCTGAGATAAAGGTGTGCGCCTCCACCACCAGCTGATTCTGAAGGTAGAAAACAATTCTCCTATTTACTAACCGCTGAGGTGGTGCATTACACAAAAGCAAAGAATGGGAAAGACAAACATAGTTTGTGCCTCAGTGGGGAACAAAGCACTTTGTAAGATGTTTCTTCTCTCACTAAACTAGAACCTCGGAGACCAACCTTCCACCTTTGTGGCCCTTTACTAACATGTCACAGGGTGGAGCCTCACACCTTCTGGCTTGTCTACATCAAATTAGCCCTAGAGTCCATTCATTGCCACTAAGATGGAGCTCCATGGCGGCTTACTACCTATTTTGTAGCATTGCCAGACGGGTAGGGCCATCTGCATAGGCACAGACAGGCAAAAGAGACAATTCTCAGGGGATCATAGCATGGCAGAAGCAATGGGACAGAAGACATCAGCAATGTAAAGATGCAGAACTTAATGCCCTTAACCTGCCCACTGATGTCTTCACAATTTAATGAAAAAGCTAAATTCACTGAGAACAAGGAAGCCAGAGTCAATGCTGCAGAAGTACAGTGAGACTTAGCAGGTGCCGCTCCTACGACAGGCCCAGAAGACACATACACGTATGGGCTCACAGCTACAATTCTATAAACATGTTAGAGCTGGCGGAAGACTAAAAGGCGAGGTGGGTGATGGAGCCTATTCAGCCATCTGCACTTGGTACCTGGTGAGCATCTCCAGACGGGATGATATAAGCCTGGATTGGTTCTGCCACGTACTCAGCATTCCTCATTGCTTGTCGCAGCTGCCGAAGCAGCTCTGATGTCACCTTTGGAGCCATCCTGTGGTCTGCAAAAACAGGAGAGTTTATTCCAAAACCAGCCTGGCCCCTGTAATTGAACTGACTAGTAGTTCAAAGCAAGCTAAAAGAGAGTACCTCCCACATCCCATCCTCCCACACCCCATCATCCTCCATCTTCAAACTGACTTCACTACCATCAGACCAAGACTGAAGCAGCCAGACACTTATGTGTATAGTTATTAAACACTTCCAATAGCCATGGTAAGAAAAAGTCTGCCCCTAAGACTCACTTCCCGATTATGCTGCATTTCTAGAACATTATTCTGAGGAGATGACTAAACAGGTATATAAATATATAGGTGTCAACCTTTGTTTACAGCTGTGGAAGAAACAAGAATTATCAGCTAGATAAACTATAATGCACAGAACACTAAGCAGCCAGGAAAAATTATAAAGACCTAGGAAAATATTCCATAGATGTGTGGAATGTATACTAGAATGATGTCTAGGCCTGGTGGGTAGTTAAAAACATATTTTGAAAGGGCATGTGAAGATTATTCTACTTTAAAATTGGATTTTAAAATATATACATGCACAAAGAAGTTTCCAGAAGGACATCACCCATGTGCTAAGAGTGTTTACTTTGTAAGTTTGGTGTTTCTATTGTGACAAACCACCATGACCAAAAGCAACCTGTGGGGTAGAGGTTTATTTGGCTTACACTGCTACCTCACTGTTCATCACTGAAGGAAGTCAGGGCAGGCACTCAGGCAGGCAGGAACCTGCAGGCAGGAGCTGATGCAGAGGCCATGGAGGCTGCTGCTTACTGGAGTGCTCCTCATGGCTTGCTCAGAGTGATGCCAAAGTGCCAAGAGCAGTGGTGATAAGTGCTCAGCTCTAAATGGGACATCTGTGTCACCCTCTCCACAGCTCAGGGATCATCACAGGAGAGGGAACCTAGAGCATCCAAGAGCCAGAGGATGGAAAAATGTTTTACATCTGAGTACCTTTACTCTCACTAACTCACTGCCCCTGTGGTTATCTACGCAAGACCTGCACAGGCCTGGGCCTGTCGGCAGATAAGGCCCCACCCATCTCCATGCCAGCTGGTTTCTAGGAGGGGGCTGTAATTTTCTTCAGTGATGTAGCCACTGATAGTTGCCTATACTTCAATAACTCACGCATACTTGTGCAAGCAACTCATTAACTGAGCAGATCACACAACCCATAAAAGATATGAAAGTAGGGGGTAACAATGAGAGAGTGGGGTAAAAATCACTAAGAACTATGTGAGTGTAAATAGTCCACTTTTTATGATTTATCCATGTACATGACCGTGTTGCCCACATATACGTATGTGTGCCATATGCATTCCGGTGCCCTTGGAAGTCAGAAGGTGGTGGCAGATGCCCTGGAATGGGATTTACAGCCAGCTTTGAGTGTCCACGCAGGTGGTGAGAATCAAATCTGGGTCCTCTGAAAGGGCAGCCTGAGCTGTTAACTGTCAAACCATCTCTCCAGTCCCTGCTTAGTGGGTTCTTCAAAAAGACCCTTACTCAACAGATACTGACTTCATCCAATAGATACGCCTTAGCCGCGATCCCATAGCAACCTAACCAATGATGTCACAAAAGGCCAGCAGGGTTGTGCTCAAGTACACAGTCAGTCCTCAGCCCACGGATTACTAGCATAAAACATGCCTAGAGTGCTAGAAGTCAGAGTGGAATGATAAGGGATTTGGGTTTTTTTGGTTTGTTTTTGTTTTGTTTTGTTTTGTTTTTGGAGTTGTTGGCTGCTGCTATGGTTGTTGAAGACAGGGACTAAGTATGCTGGAATGGCCTCGAACTCATAATTCTGCTCAGTCCTCTGAGTACTGGGAACTACATACCCAGCTCAAAAATATTTCTTTTAATTTCTAAATTATTTGCTAGAGAGAGAGAGAGAGAGAGAGAGAGAGAGAGAGAGAGGAAGGGGGAGAGAGAGAGAGAGAGGAAAGGAGAGAGAGAGAGGAAAGGAGAGAGAGAGAGGAAAGGAGAGAGAGAGAGAGGAAAGGAGAGAGAGAGAGGAAAGGAGAGAGACAGAGGAAAAGAGAGAGAGAGAACGCTGGCTGAGCAAGAGCTGGAAAGAGCAAGATAGAAAGCCTGAGTGTACTTGATGGTTTCTGCTTAAGTGCCCTGGTTTCCCTGGATGATTAATTGTGATCTGGAAGTGTAAACTGAAATAAATCCTTTTTTCCTCAAGTTGTGTTTGGTTGCGATGTTTTCCCAGCAACAGACAAGTAAACCAGAGCACCAGCCTTGGCTTCTGAGACAGCCTCTCTCTATCCCTGGATGATCTAGAACTTACTATGTAACTCAGGCTGGCTCATGTTCACAATTCTCCTCCCTCAGTTTCCCGAGGGCTGGGATTGGGGGCGAGTACTACCATGTCGGCATATACAGTATTTTCACTGACCCCCAAATTCATCCGTGTTCAACCTACCCATCCCTCACTCTCCCCCAGGCCCTGACAATCTCTGATCTTCTCACTACCTGCAGAGTTGAGACTTTCTCAGATTAGTTAGCCAGAATCCTATAGTAGGTAACCTTTTCAGATTGGCCTCTCTCACTTAGCAAGATGAAGAGTATCCCGTATCTCTTAAGGGTGTGCTATCTCAACTCTTTTTAGTTTTGAATGCTATTCTAGTAGCCAGCTGTACTGCAGCTGATTTACTCATTCTGTTGAAAGACATCTAGGTTGCTTCCAGGTTTGGAAAACTGAATGAAGCTGCCATAAACAATCAATCATGTGCAATCAATTATGTGGATATACTATTTCAATTTATCTGGGTAAATCCCAAGGAATGTGAGAGCTCAATTACATGACAAGCATTTATTAGAATGTAAATAACTTTCAAACTGCTTTCCAAAGTGGCCTGGCCATGCTTCACCAGCAATGAACCAGAGATCCTGTTGCTCCACATCCTTGCCAGGATTAGACATTGTTAGTGTTTGGGATTTTGCAATAATGAAACATCCATCAAAACCAACCTGATGCACGGTTATGCATAATGGGGTTCCAGCGAGGCAGCTACGTCAGGGGCTTTTCAAGGGCAGACATGGTTGCTGCAGCTTACACGGCTCTTAACTTCTTTTTCCTTCCTCACCACCAGTACCCTGGGTTCTTACACTCCAGTTCTTATGGTGATATCACTTCCCTACAACACACCTCGCACCAGCTGCGTGACCAGCTGAAAACTGACCAGTTCATCATCTGCACAAGGACATCCTCGACAGCTGCACTTACAACTCAGAGCGGAGTTACTCAAAGGAAGAACTCCTGGAGATCACGTCCATATCTCTCACATTACAGCTGCTGCTGGAAACTGGCTTCACAGGGCTTCCTTTCCTGTTCCCTCGTCTACTTAGCCTATACCAGCTCATGTCTCAGAGAAAGGGAGATCAGGTGATCTGGTCTGAAGCCAAGACCGGAGGCCCAGACCTGTAAAGGAGAATAAGGCAAAGGGGCCACAAGTCCCTGGCTTGTCTGGGCAAATTAGTGATAGGATATACTGCTTCAAAGAAAAAGAAAGAAGGCTGTGGATAGCTGGGGGTGGGGGGGTTACAGTTCAGGGAGGGGACACAGCCCAGTGGTGCGGTACTTACCTAGTATGCACTAGGCTCTAGATTCTATCCCCAGTGCCACACACATACACACACAAGAAGTATCTGGACTGCTAATGGATTTGTCTCAGAAACAAGAGTATAGCTCAGTATTAAATACTTGTCTAGCACCATGAAGTACTGGGTTCAATACCCAGCACTGCTCCACTTCCTGAAAAATCAAAACTCTCCTATGGGATCCAAACTAAACCCCATGTGGATTCAGAAGAATGCCTGAAATCATGTCTGTGACACTTTTCTGAGTTTCAGAACAGATTTAATATACTTCTAATTAAACCCCATCGCACTGTGGTCAGGGGAGGGGGCGTCTCACTCTGTTACCTATGTGAGTCTAGCCCTCTTACTCAAGAGCCCCGCCTACTGCAGCTTCCTAACAGCTGGGACTACAGGCAGGCACCACCCTGGCCTGTGGTAACATCTTCACACCAGGCCAAAATAAAGACTGCTTCTGGAGCGCCGGCTTACCCTTGGCTGCACATCAGAACCACCCGGGGAACTTCTGACTTAACTGGTGTCGAGTGCAGCCTGGGCATACGAAATCTTAAAAAGCAAATATCTGACAGAGTTCACCGTACTTTCTTTTAAGATCGGTCATTCGTTTTCTTACAGAATTTGGCTAATTTGGGCATATTGCAAGGTGCGGATTTTAGTGGCACCAGCTGGGAGTATACAGCACAGCGACAGATGCACCCACACTGGCAGTTACTAACCTCACGGACAGACTTAACACAGCAGCAGTGGTCAGCAGCTCAGCTGTGAACTGAAAGGAGCAAGACCAAGGGGGTGTGGTCATCGCCATCCTCGGCTTCCTACTCTCCACGCAGTCTCCTCTCCTCCACAGCCTGGCCCCCATCACTGCCATGCCTCTCTCTGGTTGGTATATCAGGCCATTCCAGAACCATAAGCATCACCGATGTATTACAAGAGTGAGTTTCCTCCACCCACCGTGTCCTCTGCTCCCATCACGACTCTCCATTTCCCCTCCTTCCCTGCCTTCTCATCGCACTGGCTGTTGCCTCGGGTCAAATGTAGACACCTCTGTCACCTGTATCCTTGAGCGCGATGGGAAAAAAACTCCCAAAGGGACAACCAACGGCTTTGGTAAGGGGTAGTGTCGGCAGCAATAAACGTAGAGACCACAACATCAGGCAATGGCAGGCGTCAAGCAGAAAGAGCTCAGCCAGGGACTACCACTGAGGAAAGAAGGCTGACCAGGCTATGAAAGCGACTGATGGCTGAAGAGGGGACGCTGAGGGTACCTAGCACCAGTGTGCATCCCAGCCACTAAGGGGAAGCAGGAGGACGTGACAGTGATGGCTGGTAAGCCTCGAAGGGTAGTTCTGACGAAAACAAGTTGTTCTAGGAGAAGCATCATGAGTATCTGCAATTATTAGGGTCTGAAACAGAATAAAATAAGGAGAAATGCAATGGGCTAAGTAGGGTAACAGGTATGTACCCTGCTTTTCCCCCAAAGCAGACACCATGTCATTTCTGTATCCGTGCATAACTATGCACATTTAGATGGCTGAATATCACGGTGCTGTGTCTATGATCTTTTCAGAAAAAGGTGCATAGCAGTGAAATGAAAAGCTAGGAACTTAGAAGATGCCCTATTATAACATCTCACTACACATCCTTTTATTTTTTTTAGAAATGTTAGCAGCTGCCAAGAGCTGAGCAGCGTGCAGGGAAGCGGAAAGCCGAGGGCAACAGGCCGGCCCATGATGTGACACCAGCCCCCACAGCCAGGTATTTTTAAATCATGCCTTAAAGAGAATGACTCGCTGAGAAGCCTCCTGCATATGAAGTAAGTTTAGACCTGAAGCCTTTATCACAAAAGCTTGTCCCCGCTCACACTGAAGGCACAGCTCATTTCCCTCGGTGGCAGCTAGCACTAAACATGAGCAGTGTGGAAGCACCACCAGGAGGAACTCAGGAAACATGTGAGTCCATCCGCTCCTGCAGCTCCAGCTGCGGTTCCCACCCACTTGCTGTACGAACAGGGGGCTGCTATCTCCAAGCTCAGCATCCCAGACCATGCATCCCAGACTACACTGCTGTCTCCGCCTACATGACTGGGACAGCAGCGAGCGCTCTGCATATGTCAGGGACTGAGTCTCACTATGACTCTTCCAAGGAAGATTTCAGTGTTCCCACTTAAAGGTACAGGGGTTAGGAGTTGAGGAATTGCCCGAGTCAGCTGAGCCACCAAGAGCCAGAAGCCAAGGTCTAGGCAATTCTCTAGTTCATGCTCCATTACACACATTGCTAGGGGACTCAACTGAGGATTACGTGAGCCTATGAGCAGTGTGATCAGATCTCCAGCTGGCATCTACTGCCTTAGCTCCCGGGAACTTAACTTCCGTCTCACGGCTCAAGTTTTCTTCCAACTCCAAACGGGATTAGTTGAGTCTTTTACGCCCTCCTTCCTCTTTTTTCCTACTTCTTTCCTCTCTTCTTCCTAACGTAGCTCAATCAGATGAGCTGGATCATCTATTTTTAGATGGAAAGTTGCACACAATACCATTAGTATTCCCACAGCCGCTTCAGGATGGAGGGCACCCTGCAATGCTGCTAGGGAGGCCTCAGTTTGCTGTGGCTGCCCTAGGACAGGAACACAGCCATACAGTCCTTGTCGGAAATCAGCTTCCTAGCACCACCGGATGAATAACTAACAAATTCTAAGATAAGAAGTAAGGTTAGTCTTGGAAATCCACCCCCCCAAAAAAAATTCCTAATTGCATACTCAATTTATAATGCACAGTAATATATTTTCTCATTTCAGAATCTGACAAAAGGGTGAAAGCTAACTTCTAAGATAATCAAAAGGGATTGTATTAAAGATAAAGGTTGATACTAGAAGAACGAGAAGACATTTCAGTAACAATCTCCTCCACCCACCACCATCACCATCCATCCCCATATGGCCCAACGGGTGAGTGCTTGCCACCAAGCCTGACTTAAGTTTCGGTCCCAGGACCCACATGGTGGAAGGAGAAAATCAATTCCCACTAGTTGTCCCTTGGCCTCCATACATGTGCCATGACATATATACCCCTACATATATACACAATAACATATATAGTACAATAAATTTAAGTGGTAAAAATATAAAAACAGTAACTGATCTGACAGAAAGCCAGAGGACACCATGGACTTTTAATTTCCAGACCCTCATCTTAGCCACACTTAATTACAAATCCCTCAGCCTCTCTTCCCGGGCAGAGGGTGGGACAGGAACTCTTGTGCTATTCCATCTAATTTATAAGCGAAATTGTCGTTACCTCTTTCCACACTCTTGTCCCCTGAGGGTGTCACCTCGTTAGGTTCAATTATCCTTAAATGTCTCAGCTGAAAATCCTGGTGATGCGCCCTTAAAGAGAAAGAGCAGAATGCTGCAGACTTTGGCCCCAGGAAACGTGGCAAGGCTCAGTCAAAAGCGGCGTCCGCTTGGCTGAGCAGTCTTCCCGTGTGAGTCAGAACTCTGACTCTGGTATCAGTGATGGCACACCGGTTTCAGATGAACCACCCTGCACTGCGCACCCCAGAGCAGGGAGCACTTCCCCATGGGGCACATAGGGGACCATTGGCAAACATGTCCACAGCAGCCACACCTCCTCGGCTCACTGCCAACTCATGAATTTCCCTCAATTACATCTAATCCCACACTGGACTAAGATTTATCTTGCTACTATGTTCTCAGTGACTAGAGTTTTCATGTGTGCAAGGTTCTACCTCGCTCCATCTCACTTTTTTCTGGTGTCCTGTTCTTTCACTCTGGTTTCAGTTCCTCCTGCTAGCAACTTGATCATTTTAGGCACTTACGGCACTTTCCACCTTGAAGAGGATCTCTCGGGGGGGTGTGTGTGTGTGCGTGTGTGCGTGTGTGTGTGTGTGTGTGTGTGTGTGTGTGTCGGGTGTGTGTGTGTGTATCTCTCGGGGTGTGTGTGTGTGTGTGTGTGTGTGTCGGGTGTGTGTGTGTGTATCTCTCGGGGTGTGTGTGTGTGTGTGTGTATCTCTCGGTGTGTGTGTGTGTGTGTGCGTGCGTGTGTGTGTGTGTGTCTCGGGTGTGTGTGTGTATCTCCCGGGGGTGTGTGTGTATATCTCGGGGTGTGTGTGTGTGTCTCAGGGTGTGTGTGTGTGTGTGTGTGTGTGTGTGTATCTCTCGGGGGTGTGTGTGTGTATATCTCGGGGGGGGGGGTGTGTGTGTATGTATGTGTGTGTGTGTATCTCTCGGGGTGTGTGTGTGTGTGTGTGTGTGTGTGTGTGTGTCTCTCGGGTGTGTGTGTGTGTATGTGGATCTCTCGGGGTGTGTGTGTGTGTGTGTGAATCTCTCGGGTGTGTGTGTGTGTATGTGAATCTCTCGGGGTGTGTGTGTGTGTGTGTGTGTGTGAATCTCTCGGGTGTGTGTGTGTGTGTGAATCTCTCGGGTGTGTGTGTGTGTGTGTGAATCTCTCGGGTGTGTGTGTGTGTGTGTGTGTATCTCTCGGGGTGTGTGTGTGTGTGTATCTCTCGGGGTGTGTGTGTGTGTTTGTGTGTGTGTATCTCTCGGTGTGTGTGTGTGTGTGTGTGTGTGTGTGTGTGTTGGGTGTTGTACTCCTTCCTCCACGCTGGTGGCTCATCGAGAGCTTATCTTCATGGGCTGGGGATGCAGCTCAGTCGGTAGAACCCTTGCCCAGCACTCAGGAAACCATGGACTTGATCCCCAGCAGTGCACAAACCAGGCACGGGAGGACATGCTCAGAACTAGGAGTTCAAAGTTACCCCACACTGCGTAGTTCAAGATCAGCCAGGGATACATGAGAACCTGTCTCAAGGAGTTGAAGTTTATCTTCAGCCAGGCTCGAGGTACAGACCTACGATCCCAGCTCTCCTTAAGAGGCTGAAGCAGGAGGGGAAATTCTGAGCCCATCCTGGGCTACAAAGTGAACACCTATCTCAAAAAAAAAGAGGGATGGGTATGTAAACATATTTTAACCAGAAACTATCTATGAAAAACTATGTCCTGGTTCATACAAGCATTGCTATCACAGTTTGCCAACGTTCACATCAACTTCTTAGGCAAACCCTCTATAGGGCCCTGGATCTCAGGCACAAAGGCCTCTGTCTGGATCTGATACCTTCCCAGGCTAAGTTCACCAGCATCCCAGGCAAGCTTTAAGTACCCTGAATCTGTGGCACCTGAAAATTCTCCATCATGTTCACTTGGGTATTGGCTGAGAACCTTCCGGCACCCTGCATTGGATGAGACATCTGACTTGTGACGTAGGGCAGGAGAGACGGGGGGGGGGGGGGGGGGGACAGACACTGTTCTACAGAACGAGGAAAGGCAGGGAGGGCAAGGGAGAAAGTGCCCGGGAAGTGGGGGGAAGGCTGTCTGTCTGTCTGTGTAAGACAGCTGGCAGAGGTTGTTCTGATAACACCTGTCATTTTAGCAAAGAATGTTCTTTAAAAAAGTGATGAAGCTAGCCAATTCTAGAGAAGAACATTCCAGAAAAGGAGAACAACAAATGCAATGGCTATGAAGCCTCTTCAAGGCTACAGGACAGAATGAGGCCTTGAATTTGTTGTCCAAAGAAAGACATGCCAGGGATCTCATGTTAAGAGCGTGTGACCTCAACAAAACACAGGAAAGAGCCAGCACAGGTTTACCCCAGGGACACAAGGTTGGTCAACACAGGAAACTTAATGTAAGACACCAGATCAACAGAATAAAAAGCAAAATCAACATCTCAAGACACGGGAAAAAAATCACTTGACAAATGCAATGCCCAGTGATGATAAATGCACTCAGTAAACTAGAAAGAAATCCCTTGAGCTAAAAACAAGATGGCTCCGCAGGCCAGGGAGCCTCCAGCAAAGCTGAATCACCTGAGTTTTATGTCCAGGGCCCACATAGTGGAGGGCAGACATGACTTCCCGCAGGTTGTCTTCCCACCTCCATATGTGCGCACACATGCAGACAAACGAAGTTTACTGTTCTTTTCAATTTCCCAACCTAACATCTAGAACTACAAGATGTGTGAAAACTGAATGCTTGCCCTATGATAGGGAAGAAGCGAGGCAGAGATTACGACTCTACACTGTATTTGTGGTTCTATCCCTGGCAAGAAAAAGAAACCAATGTATCCAGATCGGAAAACAAGTAAAGTCCCATTTGTAATGCCACTGCTTTGAGTAGACAAAACCCTAAAGAATTCACAAAAAGCTAAAGTAACTGAACTCACCAAAGGCAGCATGTAGAAATTAATTATACTTCCATGCCCTTGCTCTCAATATCAAAAATAAAGAAAAAGCCATGTTCAATAGCATCAAAAATAATAAAATACTTAATGCACTTAGCAAATGAAGTGTAAAAATGTATACTGTAAATTATGCAAAAGATTAGCGACATGAGTTAAATAAAACCTGAATATACAGATTCATGGGTTTGAAGACTTACTTATCATTAAGTTCATACACGCTGGGTATGATGGTACACTCAGAGGCAGGGCCCAGTCGATCTCTGTGAGTTAGAGGTCAGCCTTGTCTACACAGCAAGTTCCAGGACAGCCAGGGTTACCACAGAGTCCCTGTCTCAAAAAGAGAAAGATGTTATTATAAGATTGAAAGTCTCTATCAAAATTTCAGCTGGCCTCTATGCAAAAGCTGAGAAGCAGATCCTAAAACAGGGACAGAGATTAGCCAAAAGTGTCCCAATTACTTGACTCACCAATAACAAGATAACCATATATTTGAAAACGGTCCTCAAATGGTCAAAGGTATGTAAGATGTTCAACACTACTGAATGTGGTGGCTCACACGTACAATCCCAACACCCAGGAGGCCGAGGAAGGGGACTGCCATGAATTTGAGTCCAGAAGTGAGCAATTCTACCCTCAAAAAAAAAAAGAGGGAGAGGGAGACAAACGATGTTCACCATCATTCATCGCCTTAAGTCCCAGAACAGCAATGATGGTGGAGCTGGAGCTCAAGGAAAAGCAAGTGGCACTGGAGAAAGAGGAAAAGGGACCACAAGGATATCACTCCTCTCCCAGGGTGATCAGGGGCTGGAGATGACTCAGCAGTCAAGAGCACTGACTGCTCTTGCAGAGAACCCAGGTTCAGTCCCAGCACCCACACAGTGGCTCACACCTGCCTATAACTCCAGCTCCAGAGGGTTCAACATTCTCTTTTGTTCTCTGCTGGCTCCCACACATACATACACTCAGGCACATGTGCACACATGCACACACACACACACTAAATATATAGAATTTGTTTGTCTGAGACAGGGTTTCAGGTAGCTGACTGGCCTGAAATCACTATGTAGACCAGGCTGATCTGAAACTCACAGGATCCACCTGTCTGTACTGTACATCTTGAGTGCTGGGATTAAAGGCACAGGCCACTAAAAACTAAAAAAACAAAAAGAACCAAAACCAGACAGTAACAAGTATAGATGTAGATGTAGCAAGCGGGAACCTTCAGGCACCGATAGTGGACATGTGAATGGATGTTGTGGCTTTGGAAACAATTCAACAGTTCCTTTAAAAATAAAATATGACCCAGACAGTGGTAGTGCACACTTTTCATCCCAACACTTGGGAGGCAGAGGCAGGTGGATCTCTGTGAGTTCAAGACCAGCCTGAACTAGAGTGAGTTCCAGGATAGGCAGAGCTATATAGAAAAACTCTATCTCAAATAAATATAGATAGATAGATGATAGATAGATAGATGATAGATAGATGATAGATAGATAGATAGATAGATAGATAGATAGATAGATAGATAGGGCTATCCTACTCATGCAGTTCCACTGGTAGGCATGTACTCAATAAAACTGAAGACACAGCTTCACAAAAACTAGTTCACAGGGTTATAGGTGTGGCTCAGGGGTAGAGCACTTGTTCAACATGCAATATGCATAAGACACTGGATTCAACCCCAGCATTGAACAAAGAAAAAGTAAAAAGATAAAATTATGCTAAGGTAAAAACACAGTGTATGATTCTATTTATATGAATGGCCAGGATGGGCAACCTAGAGACAAGGTAAACTTTTAGTTGACAAGGCCTGAAAGGAATGGAAAGTTAGGGGAATGAAAAGTGAGTCCTGATGGGGACATGAATAGAGTGGGAGCCAGGGTAGGGGGAAAGGACCTGAAGAGATGGCTCGGTGGTCAAGAGCACTTGCTGCTCTCTGCAGGGGGCCTGGATTGGCTTCTCAGCACCCACGTGGCAGCCTACTGTCTTATTTTAGTTCCAGGGATCAGATGCCCCCTCATAACCTGTAAGTTCCAGGGATCGGAATCTAACTAGTCAGTTCCAGGGATGGGATGCCCTCTGCTGGCCTCCAAAGGGCTTCTGCCTTCATGTGGTGCACATAAAACTCGTAGGCACACACACATATACACTTTTTTTTTTAGGAAATGTACAAAAACTTATTTGGGGATAAAAATGTCCTAAACATCAACGACAAGTATACAACTCTGTGATTATTAAAATCACCCCACTATTGGTCAACAAATACAGAATCAGAGTCCAGGCCTATCAATGTCTCCCCATCCTCCCCCCCCCCCCCAGTGTTCTACCCCTTCCGAGAGCTTCTGAAGCCTCGACCTTCTCCAGATCATGAGGAGCCAGGAGGCACATAAGTGGGAAACAGACCAGAGTACTCCCTGCTCCACCTTTGTAGACTGTGGTTATGACCAGAACTACTTAAAACCATACGTTTGTCTCCCTCTCTCCCTCTTCCTAAAAAGAAATCCCGAGAGTTCTAGGTATTCATCCAAACTCCCTTCCCAGTCTGTGATAAGAATCACACAGCTCTAGTGCCAGAGCGGAGGTCAAATGGGAACCAAATGCTCAATTATACCCAGTGAAATGAAACAAACAGGACAAGCTCTTAGGATGGAAACTGAGCCCACACTGTCATCCACCACACAGAGCCCACCCTCTGGACTTGAGGACCACATTCTCCATTTCAGCCCAAGGTTTAGAATGAGTGTCCATCACTAGTGTGCCACACCATGGATGCAGGCTTGATTAGTACACTCCTCTGGTCATGATGACTAGTCCAGATAACATTTAAAATCCAGTGAGCCCGGTGAGAATAAGATCCAAGACGGTTTCTGTGTGACTGTCAGCCTCGGAGTCTCATCACCTACAATAAGGAAAAGTCTGCCCAAGCAAGAGCTGAGCAAACTGGGGCCAGAAGGACAAAGGTTTGGACAAGTGTGAGGCCAGTATTGGCTCTTCTGCCTGTAACGCCACTAACATCACCTCAGCTCCATTTTACCCCTTCTACCAGTCCAGTTTACCTTCTTAAAGTTTGTTCTGAAAGTTTGTTCCCTGGATGGCGCTGGAATTCTACCACTTCAGGAAAGCAGCCTGGAGCAAAAGGCCTTCCTCTCTTAGACGGCCAACCAGTGTTCAAAGACGACCACACACACACACACACACACACACACACACACACACACACACACACACACACACTGTCGCTCGCTCTTCGGATCCAGCAATGCCTATGGTTTGGTCCTCAATGCCTCCTCTCAGCCTCCGGCATCACATCATTACCCACTTGCCTAGCCTGACTTCCGGCAGAAAACTTACAGGTAGGGTGTATCCACGTGGACAGTGACCCACACCCCTCCATGGTGCACATGTTAATTTGTGGTCGCATTTAACATGCTGCCACAAGACCAGATCCGGTCAAGGTAGGGCTGAGATGTGTCCACTCGCAAAACTCAAGCATAATATGGTCAGAATTCCACAAATAAGTCGGGCTGCGGTTTCTCATGAGTTGCCTCGAGCCTCAAGTGGTCTTAGAGGATGAGTAAAACCACTGTGGATTGCCACAGTTGTAATGCTGGCCTTTGTGTACTTACATTTCCCACTTGTAATAGCTAAGTGTGCCTGGCTTGAGAGGAGAAAAAAAACTAAAACATGTTCAACACGAGGCTGCGAAATATCCCTGCACTTCCTGTGTCCAAGAGCAGGTTCCTGGTGGGATTTTCCGGAAGGCTGTGCCCGTCTATTTCCTGACACTGCCCCAGAGACCATTTGTGTGGGGAGGGCCGGCCGCACGGCTGCCTGACTCTGCGGAGGGGTTGGATCGAGGGGTAAAAATGCAGACATCGGAACGGGCTGGGTTGTAACTTCAGGTTGCCGCGGGGGGTGGAAGGGTGAGGGCAGGGACACAACCACCTCTGGGTACCCGGGGTGGATTCAAGAGGGACCAACTTCCTGCAACAGCAGCAGGGCCTTCCCTCCGGCTCGGGGTAGGTGAAGATCGCGGCTCGCCCCGGCCGGGCGAGGCAGCTCCTCCGGCACTCCGGTCCCGGGACGGGCTCCGGCCGCCCGGAGGTGCCCGCCGCCCCGCCGGAAGCGAGCTGAGTCCTGCCGGGCTGCACGAATCGACCCCCGGCTCCAGCTCGGAAGGCTGCGGCCAGTCCTGGCCATGCCCCGACGGCCGCCCGCGGCCGCTGCTCGCCCTCTCTCCCCTACCCTCCCGGGTGTGCAGCTCGCTCGCGCGCCCGGACGCCGGCCGGCCTGGCCAGCCGGCCGGCTCAGCCCCCTCACCTTACTCGCGGTGGCTTTCTGGAGGCTGCCATTCGGCGGTGACGTGCCCCAGCCCACGTCAGGGGAGCGCAGACCAGCTGATCGCCGGCGGCAGGGCGGGCGGGCGCGCGCACCGGGGCAGGCCACGCCCCCCTCTGTGGCGTGCTCACGCAGGGCCCCGCCCAGGCGGCGGCTCCGCCCGTTCGCTGGAGGGGGCGTGGCCGGGTCTGCGAATCCCGGGCCCCTGCAGGCTGCTGTTGCCGGGGGAGCACGGTGCCCTGTGCAGACAGTTAGGAAGAGGGCGCCCTGCTGCCGGCTAGCGAGGCTGCTGGGCTTCCCGGGAAGGTTCCAGCCTTAGGGTCAGTTTAGACGAGTGGGTCGTGGCCAGCTTATTTTAGGGTCCTGGAGACACAGGGTCGGGATATAACTTGCTGAGACTTTAGAGATGTCACCCAAATGATTTTTTTTTTTCAAACAACTTCAAAACCTGCTCACTTTCAGTTAGGTAACTAGCTGAGCCCTTCAATGTTAACGTGGCCAAATCTAGCTCCTAACCACACACACACACACACACACACACACACACACACACACACACACAATGTTCTCCAAATAGGGACTATTCCATGTTTTAAGGGCAAAAATCTTAAAGTGATGTCTGCCTTTTCCCCAGTCTATGTCCCATCTGCCCAAAATCCGCTTGCTTCTGGCTTCAAAATAGATCCCTAACCCACCCACTTTTTATCATCTCTGTCACCTATCTGTGTGACACCTGCACACAAGCCAGAATAATCAATCCTACCCCGAGGTTCCCTGTGGTGTTTGCTGTAGTCAATTTATCACACTCTGAGATTACCTGGGGGAAACATCCTGGTCTTGTCTGTGAGGATTATCTTGAGTGTGTTAACATGGGAAGACCCATCTTAACCCTAGGCAGAGGATCCTGGACAATAAAAATTGGTGAAAATGAGCTCTCTGCTCTTGACTATGGATGTAATGACTCCAGTCCTCTCTTCTGTCCACTATGACTTCCTGCATGATGAACTACAATCTGGAACTGTAAGTCAAGTAAACTCTTCCCCCTCAAATTCCTTTGCCAGAATAGCTTATCGCAGCAACAAGAGACTAAGACAGTCCCCATTTCATTCAGGATGAAATCCAGGCTCACACCTAGCTCACTGCTGGCCTTCAGGATCTTTAAAAAGGTTGAGGACACTCACAGCCCCTTCCAGTATCCTCTTCAGTGAAACCACTAAAAGCTGTAGGTTTCAGAGCCTGCTATTTTCCCCACAGCTTTTACCATTTTTCACATGACTTTATCTCTTAAAGTATATTCTGCCCCTTTCTACACTACACACTTGCCATAGCCACCACAGCAATGTTGATTTGGGGGCGGGGTGTTTAAAAATGAGCAATCGCTGGCATTGAGTAAATTCTCACATGGTTTTTTTGTTGTTGTTGTTTTGTTTTTGTTGTTGTTGTTTTTTTTTCAGAAATGAATGTCCCCAGATTGCACACTAATCCGAAGCAGGGACAGTGGCTCTCTTGTTCATTGTTATGTCCCTAGTGCTTATAACAGCACCTGAAACTAAATGAAATTGGCCACATATTTTAAAACTGATCAGTGCCCCCGAGTCCTAATACTCCTATGTCAAACAGGTTCCACTGTCTTCTGGTACTGAAAGTTCCAGTTCACGTTGAGTGAGCACCTAGGCAAGCCAGGAAAGAATGTACGTGGTACAGCATGTCTCTTCATTTCCTCAAGTGCATGGAGCCAAAAAGACAGACTGTAAACAAAGTGCCTGGCTCCTGCCCACACCCAAAAGAACAGCGAGGGAGAAAACCGGAGGTACCAGTAGGAGTTCTAAATGAAACCAAAAGGCAGCCAGCAATTCATAGTCATATCGCCAAGGAGGAAGGAGCTGGCTGAGAGTTTGTGCCACTGGCTTTAGACTTTAAAAAGAAGCATGGGCATTCCCTGAACTAGACTTGAATTCCTGATTGCGAGACAGAAAAGCCGCCACCATGGTCTTGCGGTTCTTTGGGGAAATCCCAGGAAGAAGACTCTGAGAGTAATTGCCTGAGAGTGAGAGCAGGAAGGGTTAACTGTGGTTTGGGTCTGTAGACCTCTGTGTAGACACTCTGCACAGACTGATTGCTATCTGTGTAGCCCACCACAACCCAGTGAACCAAGAAGCTATTTGTGCTCATTTTACTGTTTTCAAAGACTGAGGTTTTCAGAGGTCAAGTGCATTGCCTTGTGATGAAAATTACAGTGTACACTCTGGCATTCGGATGTTCTTAGCTCCCACACACAAAACAGGTTCTAGGTAAGGGGTCCTTGATGTGGCCTCATCCAAACTGCTAGCCTACTTAGTGGAAAGAGGGAGGCAAACTGTTGTAGCATCTGAATGCAGATCAGATGGGTCTTAGAAACAATAAATTCATGAAACCATTGTAACTCAAATTGTGCCCACTCCCACCCACCCACCCCCAAAAAAATCATAGACTATCCCCAGTTCCTCTTATCTGATTTGGGGATGTGATAATCCTTTCAGGACAGACAGGTTCCTACAGGGAATGTCATCTGAACATGAAGGGGAAGAGCGGAGTGATGCTCTATAAGCCACGCTCAGTGATTGCCAGAGGACACGCAAAGCCAAGAGAGAAGCATGACCAGATTCTCCGTGGAGGAAAATAAGTGACCCCCATAGATCCCTTGATCTTACACATCCAGATTCCAAAGCTTTATGACAGTAAGTTTCTGGGTTCTGAGCCAGAAGTTTATGTCAGCCGGTTATGAAAGCTCTTAGGAAAGTAACAGAAAGCAAGTTCTAAAAGTGCAAGTGTTGTTTGGGCCGCCCACCATTCACTCTGACAGCCATGCTCTCCATGGAGCTTGTCACTGCTACACTCCCTCTTGTGTGAGCTATCTGAATCCCAGGGAGTACTGTGTGACCCAGACACAAACCAGCAATAACAGGCGTGAGCCGAGTTTGCTAGGGGACGGGTGGAACGCAGTTAAGATTTTCATGGTAAGGCTGGAATGACCTTGCTCTCCTCTGCCAGGCAACAGCAGTTCTGTACTCCTGAGCTGAGGGCTCTGCATCCGTGCTCTTCCAAAGGCACAAAGGCAGCCGAAGGAAGCTTGGACAGGGGAGAGAAACAGCCCTGAGCCCTGAGTCTTGCTGGGCGGGCCTTGGACCACATCTCCCGTTACAACTTTCAGACGTCAGCCAAAATATTCCCTTTTGTCCTTAAGTCATTTTGACATTGGTTTTCTGTCACTTCTGATTAAAAGACTCCATATGGAATCCTTTAATCACTTGCACAGTTGGATTTTATGCATGAATAACTACAGCTTTATTAATAATCGTGAACTAACAAATGAAAAGAGTTTATAAAACAATTTAACATCCCATTTTTACAATACGAAACTGTAGACTTGGATATAAACTGTTATTATAGTGTAAATGATGATCTATAGTTTCTTGGAGTTTATTTTGGTCTGGCAGAAACTGAAACTTTCTCTTTCCCCTGTTTTCTTTCTTTTTTGTTGTTTGTTTTGTTGTTTCTTTCTTTCTTTCTTTCTTTCTTTCTTTTTTTTCCCTATACCTGGCTAAAGAGACAGTTCATAAAGTAAAGAAATTTGTCTCAAAGCCTGAGTTTGATCTGTGGTCCCAACCTGCTAGAATGAAAAGTTCTTCTCTGACCTACACACACAGTGATGCATGCTTGAATTTATATAGACTTTTTTTTTTTTAATTGTAAGTAAAAGGCTGGGGATTTAGCTCAGTGGTAAAGTCTTTGTCTTGCATGCATAAAGCCCTGAGTTCAGTCTCCATTGCAGCCCAGAGGAAGGAAGGAGGGAGGGAGGGAAGGAGGGAAGGAAGGAAGAAAGAAGGAAAAAAATTTTAAGTACTTATTGTGCCTTTCTCTTTGGGAGGCAAAGTGGGAGAAACGTGCCTCTTCCAAATCTTAGCTTTCCAATCAATAGTGATTCTTCAGGAATAGAATTGATAACAGGTTAATAAATATCCTGACTATGTACGGATGGAGGCCATGGCAAAATTCCTTCAATAAACTCCCACATGAAGGGACATTGAAAATGAAATCCTTGCAATAGATCAAATAAAAACTCAGCTTCTGAGAAGCGTTTTTTTACTTTTCCAAACATTTCTATGTGCTGTATGTAATGAAACTGATAGTTATAGGAGCCATGATGGGTGAGGCCCTCACAAATTGATATAATATGCTTTTTTTTCTTTTGTAGACTTAACTAGAAGATAGGCTTATGGTTACACCCTAGAGAGGAATGGGAGAAGAAAGCCAACTCTCGGGATAGTGGAGTCTGCCAAAACAATGTACTGTAAATTAAGGGTGGGAGAAACGCTTGGCTGAGTTCACAATCTACTCACCCTTTGTCTTCAGTGAAAACTGAACTCAGACCTTCTGATATCTGAGTTCCATTTGCTCTTGGCAAAGTTCAGTTCTCTGGTTCAAATAAAAAAAAAAAAAAATTTTTTTAAACCTTATGAGGCCCACTGGGTTTCTTGAACATCAAATGGCTATTGCGAAAGCAGCATTTTGGTGAGCTAAGTGTGACTGAATTGCAATCATACAGAGTAAGTACTCTCTCGATCACACAGACCCTCCCATGTTGCTGGGGGAAAGGCTGGGGTATTCTTCTTTACAGTATTTTATCTTCTTAAGGAGCCGTCCAGTGGAGGGAGGCCTTTGCCAAGTAGGAAGAGCTGTTGATGACATTGACTTCTCCCGGTGCCTTCCTGGTTACACTAAAACACAGGCTGTGGACAGAGTTAACATGGCAGGAGGAGGTCGGGAGATGATCTCTAGTCCTGGTTCTGCCACTAATGGGAAGGATAGCTTCAAAGCAGGGGCAACACTTCCCTTCCCCGATTCCCTAAGGAGTGTACTCCTTGAACTCTTCCAGACCTGTGCAGCTGTTAAGGCCTAGGAAGGGAATCTGAAGTCTGGAGAGAGGCTCTGTGTGGCCTCCACTGGATTCTTTTATAACAGTTTTATTGAGGAAATATTCACATTCCATACAATTAGCCTGTTTACAGG